TGCGAAATTAGCCAGCGTTCACAATTTATTAAAATGATCACAATAACACCTTTGGGTCTTTCAAGGCATTGAGTAACTTCTAGAATGCCACCTACGTGTTCCTGGCTAGAAAAATCTATGATCGAATACATTTCAGAAAAAAACACTGTTTAAAAAAACTATTAATTTCAATCAAAGCAACACTTAACCAAATTACCGATAAAATGTTACCGGTAAAGTTCCGTAAGCTATAATACCAAAGTGTTCCTGGACAGCGTTTAGAATTATATATTTTTCTTAAACAGAGTTCAAGCATTAGCTTTTTATATAAAATGTAGCGTTGTATCTGGTCCAATTTAACTTTATCACGTAAATTTTACGTCACCGAGCTTGCTAAATGTTCACCGGAGATCTGAAAAAAGTATTTCCCTTAGATTCTTGCAATTATTCCACGAAAGATTACGCTAGGTTCAGCATTGTGTCCTCATATTTGAAAATCAAATTTATGTCGGTGTACTCACATGGAGATTCTCTGGTGTCACTTGCGTCAACTTCCTCCTCCAAGGTAACAAAGTGGAGTTGAATGCCAAAAAGTTCATCATTTTCTTATTTGAAATTTGGTTGTCCAAAAGATTTTTCAAATTTCGCTTTAGAAATGCTAATTTTGGTCTCATTGATGTGCTAGTATCTACTAAGATATAGATCTAAAAGACATTATTAGTCGAAAGCTCTTAACATACCTTATTTTCCTGAATTTTTCCAAAAATTCCTGCAGAAGACCAAAACAGATAATATATTTGATACTCGATTTGGTCCAAACATTTCTTCATTCGATGTTCATATGATTTAAGAGCCTTCATTGAAATGTATGTATGCATGATTGACCCATCATTCCATGGTATGTGTACGAAGTCTTTGCAATAGACAGCTTCGGACTGGTATTTCTGATCATTCAAAACAAGAGTTGTTAATAGTACAGTCGTGGTTGATAGTTCGCACAGATAACAAATCAAAGATACCTACACAGTCAAATTTGCTTGGGTTTCGTAAAAATTGTGTGAGAACTGTTGGATGTGGAAACGCTGATCTTGAGAGGTTTTCAAATATGTCAAGTCCTTTTGCTTTCAATCCATTCTCACAAACCCACTTTCGCATGGCCATTTGTAAATATTTCAGCAGGTTACCATGATATTTATTTAGTTATAAGTGATATAAATTATTTTACCATGACCAAAACTTGTATCAATTCCTTAGGGGCTTAATAAAACTAAAAATTCGCCACTCTTTCGTAACCTGACAACAAAAGATAGCCTTAAAATTTTGGCGCTTAAAACAATATCACTATCTTGTGATAATTTTACGGAATAACCACCAACAACTTTAAAATCTTTACTTTTTTCTGCATGGTTTTCTCTAAATAAAGTCTCAAAACACATTCTCAACATTCAATGTCACCTACCAAAGTCCACTAGCACAAATTACGTAACCTGGACATTCTCTTCCAAACACGAGCGTTTCCTACAAGTCATATAGATCTTGTCAAGTCTATTTTGTAAAAATCTTTGCTCGTTACTCGTTAGCCTAAAGCAGTCTCCGTTTAAAAATTGTGACCGAAAGTGGTGCCCTCGGGTTCATGAAATCATTGGTATCGTCATTCAATGTTCCCAACTCTATTAGCTTTGATGATGGTATACAGTGTGCTCTTTGTCTGGTGGGGGATTTAAACTGCCTTCTTGGTTGCTAACATTTTAGAACCGCAGCGGTTTGTCTAGCATCCAATGGCTTGTTTGAGCGTCTTCAACATCATCCATTATTAAGAAATTGCGTTTGCTAATACATCCAATGCATTACCGTTGATTTTGTTGGCCATGCTCAATTTGGAAAAAGTAAGTTTCTAATACTATGACAGTAGAACTCGCTTTTGGTGCGATATCCATCTGCCTAGTGAGATTGCAGCAATTTCCTATAAAAATAAAGAAATAGTTTTATACGTGTCCTCTGGCCGGTTAGTGCCATATGAAGGTAATTTCCCGCACCCCAACAAATTTTCCATCCTGATAGGCACCTCGTCAGCATCATTGGTGCTATGAACTTTTACAATCAACAATCGATGGTCCTTTTGTGTGATAAAACGTGCCGATATTTTTTTTTTCTATTAAAAATTGGATCACTAGATACTGTAAGTGAGGGTCATCTTAAAATCGCTTACACGAACAACAGCAACGTGCCCTTGTCACATCCAAGCAGCTACAAATTTACCTTGCACCATCCACTATCCCCACCCTGTCCAACCTCCAGATTTCACCGAACCCCAAGGCAGCTTGAGTGAAATAGCTGTGGAACAAATGACTAAACTCAGGTAGATGAAACGGATAGCCAGGTTGATACATGCACATGGACGTTTGGGGGAAGCAGTTTGTTCAAGAACGAAGAGACCGAGATGATGGTCAGGAATCAACGCAATGATCTATGATGCTTTTGAACCTAAATAAACACTTCTTTATCATTATCGATGAAGCGTTAAAAACTGAAACAAGCAAACTAATGGGTTCCAAGGAATTAGCTCTACGACACATTCAGGTGAATATCAAGAAGAAAGGTTCTTCGGTTCCTCTTAGAACAGTTCACCAAAGCCCTTACAATGGCTGTTAACACAGACGACATGCGAAATTGGATATTAGTTAAAAAGTCTTGCACTATTTGTACACATAAACCAGCGTAAGCAAATATTGTCTGTAAAACTGAGTCCATGGTTGAACACAATTGCTTTCCAGGTTGGTTCAATGTTATTTTGGCAAATCAGGCGTGGAACTTGCAATGGATCGACATTAAAATAACAGATAAATCTAGGAAAACAATATAAATGCAACAATCGGTGATATGTAAGCCATTTTTATTAAGCCTACTGGTTTCTTCCCTGGATGTTCGCAAACTGTCAAAGTATTCTATGTAAGATAGTGACTGACATTTAGAACCGTCGTGGATATATGCATGGAACTAATCGAATGCATGACAATCTTTATTAAGCTTATAAAAAATTTTCTTGACTCGTGCCCACTATCGTGTAAACAGAATCAATAAAATTGACATACAATAATAAGAACTTAATGAGGGTAATGCATTGTGAGTATTCAATTTGAGCTGTGTCCAATGAAATAAACTAAATCACAGAACTACTTCAAGGAATGCTTGTTAAAATGATTTGCTCCTTTATTTATTAATCGCTAAGCCTGTGCACTATGGATTAACTACATAAGTGAAGTTATCATCTGCCTCATATTTTCTCATTAACTCGCATATTCCTTACTATTATAACACACCTTAATTGAAAGTTTTGTTCAAAGTCTTTTTACGTATTTATTATGACATCGACGGCAAGATTCGGCCGACAAGTCAATGCTATAATACCATTAATTTATACTGAGTACAATCTTTAAAATCATGAATTATAACACACATTTGAATATTTCTTCCTCGTTCATCGCTGCTTATTCCGCTTTTAGTAATTAAAACCTGCAGTCAAAAATAGTGTGATAAATTTGGTCAGCAAGTTAAGTTTTCCAAATATAAATTTCACAATTATGAAGCAATAATCTTGGGTTTATTCGGTTGGGGAAATTGATTTAACCATATTTACCACTTTCGCAAATCATTAATTTTTGCACATTTCTGGTAAAAGTACTTGCTTTTTCTAATTTGCCCCTTTTTGCTTCATTTAAAAATTTAAATAAGTTAGTGACTTATAAACACATGATTAAGTACCCGCGAAGTTAGAATTTCGTGAGGACTTGAGCTGCCTGTGCTTCTGGGTGTAATAGTTGTCTCGATTTCATTTTTGGGATTGCTGCATGTTTGGACAGTCAAAGCGTACGTATATTTTTTCTCAATATTTTTTTTGCGTTTAGCCGTTTTTGGGACCTCACCGTCCACCTGTTTCGCTTTTGGCTCCTCTCCGTTTGGCCAAGCGTCAGCAAGTCAACCGACATCTGGCCTTTTCGGACAGCCGACTACGTCGACTCAGCAGACTAGTATGTTTGGAGGCTCCGTATTTGGAGCCACTCCCACAGCCATCCAAGGGACAACTGTGAAATTTAATCCTCCGATATCGACAGATACTGTACAGAAAAATGGGCAAAAACTCCAAGTTAATACGAAACATATGTGTATAACAGCGATGAAGGAATACCAAGAAAAAAGTCTTGAGGTATGGGTTTTTTTTCTTATTTGTACTTTTTTTAACCACAGGAACTTCGTGTCGAAGATTATCTTCAAAACAGAAAAAGCGGTTCAGGTGGCGGTGCTGCCGGTTTTTTTGGAACTGGGCCTACTTCATCATTTGGTTTTGGTGCCGTTATAACTACGACCGCGCCATTGTTTGGTTCAGCTCCAACCGCTCAGACGGCGCCGTCATCTATATTTGGTTCTACCGGTGGCACCGGGACCTCGATTTTCGGTTCACCGCAACCTATGAACTCTTTTGGGCAAAGTACGCAAAACAGTGTCTTTGGTAATAAACCATTATTCGGCGTCGCGGGTTCAACTGCTTCTTCTCTAAATTCATCAACAGCTCCGCAAACACAAACGGGCTTTGGATTTGGTCAAACAATGTCAAGTAAATCATAATCGGCCACCTTAATTTGTGTCTTTAGATTCCATATTTGCCTCAAATCCAACATTTGGGGCTCCATCCACCACAACTTCATCATTTAGCCTCTTTGGGTCCCAGCCCGTTTCCAGTCAACCTGGGGGATTTGCATTTGGCAAGTCTACAGGCACAAGTATCTTCGGGACGACCACGACAACTACCCCAAGTTTATTTGGCTCTCCACAACCCGCTACTCAGACCTTGTCTTTTGGTCAGCCAGCAGTAAGTCCTTGATAAACATTTTAAAGGTAATGACACCAACGTCTCCTTTCAGTCCTCCCAATCAGGAAGCATCTTTGGAGGTGTCAAGTCAGCAGGCACTTCTATTTTTGGTTCTGCGGCTCCAACTACTACTGCGTCTGCATTCGGTAGCGGTTTTGGCACTGGATTCGGAACTAAAGCGCCAACAGCCTCTGTTGGTCTCTTTGGAACCACACAAAGTAAGCATTACCAACAAAAACGTTGACTTTCGATGTATATATTTGGCGGAGCATATTGCACTTTTTGTCTTCACATAGTTGAAGTTCACTTTATCAACATTTTCTATAAACACTTCCTGTTTTTCGTGTAATATTTGCTCCGTTTTAGTAACTATTGCTAATTGCTGTCATGGGTATCACAATTTCCGTTAGTTGTCTTTTAATTTCGTCGCTATTGTGGCTCTGATTCACTGATCTGTGTGATAATAGACCTAGCCCTTGTCACTCTGTCCTGCGAAAGTCGTTTCCTGACCTTTTTCATTTATCGGTTCAGCACTTAGACCTGCTCTTCAGATATTGAAACTTAGGTTAGGAAATTGAGGTTTTGAAGTATTGCTGTATTTTATCACCAATGTTTAGTGCGCATCTTCTTTTTCATGGCAGCCTATCTGTTTCAAGTTTTCTAAGTTCAAAATGTTACGATACTAGTGTTTTGAGTTGTGTTTTCACCCACATCCAATTTTTGTAAGTGTATGTAATTCTACAAACGTGTGCAATTCCGTAAGTCACGGCTTCTGAAATAAATGTTTAATTGTCTTTGCTTTTATCTTAAAAGCTGGCCCTACAGGATTCGGACTCGGGACCACAGCCACCTCAACTGCCCAACCTGGACTTGGTACAAGTTTATTTGGTGCAAAGAAACCTTCTCCATTTGGTACACCTGCCAGTGGCGCTGCCCCAAGTTTCGGATTCGGAGCCACCACAAGCACTTCTGGACCGACCACTAACATTTTTGGAGGCACAACTGGTTTTGGTCTCGGTTCTAATTCTCAGCCTGCACAGCCTGTGGGTGGGATATTCGGTGGCACAAATACCGCACCTGCGGGTGGACTCTTTAGCAAACCCACAGTGACAGGGTTTGGTCTCAGTCAAAATAACTCCTCAACTTCTATCTTCGGTGCATCTTCAGGTGCTGCGACGGGATCCGCAGCAGGCAGCATCTTTGGAGGTGGTTTAGGCACCACCCCCACAGTCGGCTTTGGGGGTGTGACTGGGACCAACAGCACTGCCTTCGGTACTACCTCTGCCCCGAATCAAACTGTATTGGCACCATTAGTGGAACAGTTGACTCAAAATGCAAGAGCTCAACAGCATGTCCTCGATTTGGTTCGAAGCATGCCCTACGGGCAGTCTGCTTTATTTAGACACCTGACGGCCGAATCATCCTCACCTTCAACAGCACCAACATCTGCTTCAGCACCATCTGCAAACTCCACGGCGAAGACTTCTGGCGTATCGGTACTCTCTGGCTCAGCAGCGGCAAATACCATTGCTGAAATGCACAAGGCGAATTCGCTTTCGGTAGGCAGCTATCCCGGGCGTATTGGCAATGGCCTGGCCACTCGAAGGCCCATGCAAATATTGCCTGTTAATCGAAGACAGGTTAGTTCATAGTTATTGTATTTATATTTTCGTTTTCCAAAATTTATTGATTTTTGTTCAGCTTTTTACGGGTTTCCATGAGGATGATGCACTAGTGTTGGCTCAGTCGCCGATTCCAGGTGATCGTAAGAATTGCACGACGAATGACTCCACGAGCCGGTTTTCAGCTGGTCCTGAGAACCGTTTCTTCGTTCGTCGCGAAGCCTGGAAGCATCTAAACATACCACGTTGTGTCCGAACTTCCATAATCGAACGTTCCTCTATGGTGGCGTCAAATTTAGAGCGACAGGTTGACGAGAACGAGGAGTCGGTATCTCGTGGAGAATGCCCGCAAAAACCATTGCGCTTGAGTACTGGGGCCGGTGATGCTACACCTGGCCCAACGTCGGCTACAAAAGTGCAGTTTGTAGATTCGACATCAAGTACGCCCTTCCCTCCACGGAAGCCCACTATCAACGAAAAGCAGGTACTTGGTCATATTTCCATTTAAACCAATTTCATACTGCATCTAACATTTTTAAATTCCTTGGCTAGGAAACTGAAAGTAAGCAAATTTCGCCCATACCTACGTTAAATCCAAAATCTACCAGCTCCAACAATACTTGTGAGCAGTCCGATGCTGGTAATTGGACTCTCCCGCCTGATGTGACACTCAATCAGACCACCCTGGCTGAACCTAATGCCGATGATGGTGACTCATCTCCTGTGTGCACAGTAAATAAGGCGGGCATTTGTCTTTCCAAACCGGGCTACTACATTTTCCCTACACTTGACGAGCTGGATGATTTAGTTGATGAAGATGGACGCTGTGTAGTTCAGGACTTTGTAATCGGTAGACAGGTGAGTTTTCTGTCAATCTTGCGCCTTTCCTTCTTGTCACCTATGCTTTATCACAGCTTTTCAATTTTGCCTTGTAGTCTTACGGCCATATCCTTTTTCCCGGCCTGACTGACATTACAGGAATAAACTTTGATGAGGTGGTTCACATTCGCCGGCGCGAGGTTGTGGTCTATCCAGACGATACAACTAAGCCACCGCAAGGCTACGGCCTCAACAGGAAGGCCGAGATAACATTGGATGGCGTTTGGCCGACTGATAAGTCTACTCTCGAGTTTATCAAGTCGCCCCAACGCCTTGCTTCAATTCGCTTCGATGAGCGTCTCGAGAAAGCCACCCAAAAACTAGACGCCAGGTGTGTTGCCTAATTTTTCCTGACAATCTATTTAGTTTGTCGATCGTTAGTGACACTGAATCGTGCTTTTTTTAGTAAATGGTTAGGGCTTAAATGTACTTCCACAACTTTTCGGCAGGTCTTGGTTTATGTCAAAAACTCAACCATTGTGCATGTTTTAAGCACAGGTTATTTGTGTACCCCAGTCTTGTTTGCTCTGTGCTTAGTTTTCATCTCAAACTTGACGGTAGGTCGTCTGTTTCTACTGCAGCTTTTTGCCCTGAGCCAACACCTAACTGATGCTTAAATCATGCGTCTGTAAATATTTTCAGTTGGGTTGGAGCACAAGCCCTCAGATCTGTGTGTGCGTAGTTGTTCAACTACCGTTTTGCCTAATCGAAAGTTGCCTCGAATTTGCGTAGGATTTTGTTCGAACATTACCTAAACATGCCGGAACCCATACAAGATCTTAAAACAGCCATCCGCCCCTCAAAAATGTAAAATTTCCTAAATTTATAGCAAATTGTGCACGCATTTAAAAGAGACTTAAACTTTTTTAATTGGCTCTTTATGTAAAAGTAGCCTGATTCTCAATCCACTATTAAATGAAGTGATACCATTGAAAGGATAGTGAAATTGTACTAATAATCAACCGAAACTCTAGTATTCATTAACTTAACGGAACCGTTTTGAATTTACTTTGGTTTGTCAGTTTTGAAACAATAATAAATACGCATGACACCATACAGGTAGGCAATCAGGGATTTGCTTTTCATGGAGTTTAGTTTCATATGTCGGGTTGCAATTCTATTCCCTTTGAGTTTTGGACTTGCTCACTGTTGTGTCTGAAAGTTAACAAGTAGTGGTGCGAACGTGACTTTCGTTTGGTGTGAGCTCACTGGAACTCGTAGACCCGGGCTATCGCACAAGCCTAGTTCAGCAACCGGAGCAGTTCGATGTTCTTCATTCGTTTCACATGCTTTCACGCCCCGTTTTACCTGTTTAGTAGTCGGATTTTCGTTGCTAAGGGTGACTTCTGCAGCACTCTTGGGACTTGAAGACACCAGGCACTTGCACACACATTTTGGCAGCCATGTGATCGTTTGTATTGAGCGTATTATGTCGGTGTGTCAGCAAGTAGTCAATGCATTACACGGAAATTACCATTTAAACAATATCTTTGTGTTTTTACACATTTTAATAGATCATTTACCCCATTCTCAAATCTTCGCTTGTCAGTAGCTATCAGTGAATTCCAGCTTGATAAGACCCAAATGGGAGAACAACTTAAATTGGGTGACTGCAACTCGAGAATAAAAGTGAACTCGACCATGCTTTTAGAGCGTTTTAAAAGCCTGTTACTATTTAATTTTAGTAAATTAAATTTCAAAAGTTGTGTGAATTTGAAACGTAACCGTAGGTAGTATGTTCTTTGGACGTCATATCCACTGTCTCTTATTGTTTTGATCCGAGAGGGCCGGGAGTGTACATTGTACATGTCATTGTTTCCCACTGTGGAGTTCAACAATCTGCTCGTTGCATTCTAGTTTTATCGAATACCGTCCAGAAACCGGGTCCTGGGTGTTTGAAGTGAAGCACTTTTCCAAGTACCGACTTGAGGACTCGGACGAAGAAGTTGACCATGTCCGTTCGCCACTAAATGCTCCCGACAAGAGCCGGTCTGTGCACCAGAAAGATCGCCAGCTGTCAGTAAGTCCATCGCTGTAATGACCTGGCGCACCTGTTTTTTCCTACTATTGCAACTTTTTTACGTTGCTCTTGGTCAATTGAATCGCACCAAAACAGGAGCCCAACGGCGTTCATTTATCAGTGTTCGTCTGTTAGCCACTCCTTGTTAGCATGCGAAACCACTTGAGAATTTTTTAGTTGTATCGCTCTTAAAATTCACCTTAATGTTGCATAGTGCGTAAATGCCGTTAACTAATTAAGAGGCATCAGCCATTACGTGCACTTCCTCATAAATTTAGCCTAATATGAAGCAGGACTTTGCATCCAAACACTGTATAAAATCCTGCAGTAGATTCTCATTATCCACCAGAAAAGTGGACGACTGTAGGATGTAAAGCCAATTGCCATAAAGCTCGTGAACAGACGCGTCATGAAGTCGAGCATCGCTGTAATTCATCCATGGCCTATGCTTCTCTATTCTCTTAGCCGTGTGTTCGGCGACGTTCATTTGAGAGCCCTACATCAGTATTCGCTTGTTGTTTTGTGATTCATTACACTTTCCCTTTTGATCTGCTGCCCTCTGATCTTTGGCTAACTTGACGTTTTCCTGTTTAGACGACTGTCGTAGGTGATGCTGTTGATTCTCAAGGCGCAATCACTTCTGAGAAAGAGCAGCAGCCGCGGTATTTCTCTTCTGGTCAAGATTTCCTTTGGCAGGCCCAGACCGTTTCGCCTCAATTGCTGCAGCCAACGCAGGCTTTTCGGGGCGTCAGGGATTCCCTTTTCGACGCCGGCAGTCGATTCAGGGAAGAAAACGAAGATGGAGTAGACGAGGAGGAAAGCGATTTCCGCCGGCACATTCAGTTTGAAATGATCGATAAATCGCCTCCACTCGTGGAATTTGAAGGTAGGCACCCTTAAAATCACTGGTTTAATTAAATAGCGGTACGTCGTAAACTGCCAGCTCGAGCATTATTTCTGAGGCGTTTATGTTCTTAGTACAAGTACGAGTATAGCCACACTGGTTTTGTAGTTTAACTTTCGATTCCAGTAGTTCAAGCGCCGATGTGTGTCTCCTAATCCTCTCCCCTTTTAACGTGCACTTTGTGCCATTTTTATGATGTGATGGTCCGTGTTTGTTCTCGGTGCTTAATGTAAGCAATAGAAAACAATTCATTTAGGGTCTTTTTTGCCTGTGGATAGTCACTCTGTTTGTCGAAATCGTAATGTTAGGCTTGGTTGTTTTGCATTTCGTCTCTAGTCTATTAATCGGGTTTATTTGAAAATTGGACAAGTTCGTGATTTTTCGATTTCCAATCTTTTAGGTCAAATGTTTGTATTTCTCTGCTGCAGATTTGCGTTGTTTGTCGACTGTCCATCAGATAGACCCGCGTTTTTGGTCTTTCAATACATTGAAGTCGGACTCGTTATTGTGCCTAGCAAGGCTTGCTGTTCATTCACTTCACTCTACTTCGTTCTCCTGCAGCGAATGAAACATGTTCGCGTTATAGGAAATTTATCTAATCATCTTCAGTTTTCCTGTCGTTGTCTCCCGAACTTTCCTCGTCTTTTATCCTGTGTACAACGCTAGTAAAGCCACTCATCTAACATAAATTTTTCTTTCAATAATTGACTCGATTAACTGCACAGACTTCATTACTGCTACTTAAAATGCATCCTTCGAGAATTCTTTCATTGGAAAATACGAGTTCATGTTTATTTTGTTGTCTTGTCAACGGGATCGCATATTATAGTTCCTTCTGAATATTGATATTTAAGTAAGTCTGGATTGGGCTTCCAACAGGACTTGATCGTTACGGGTCAATCAAAAAGCTATTGTAGCTGTCAGTGCATTTGTCCATGCACAAACTTAACTTTCGTACCGAATCATTTTTCGAGTTGTTTATTTCACCTCCGTCTATTCATATTACGAAGTAGTTAGATCTACCTGACATCTCATGTCGTTTTTCGTAGTTTCATCCTTCTAGTTTTTTTGTTTCACCTCGCACTTTTTAGATACTACCAAAAGATTACCCGAAGTCGATGAAGCTCAGGCCTATGCTGAATTCGAAACTCTTCAGTCTGTTCACAATCCATTCCCATCCACTGGTCCCGCGAAGATTTCGCCATTGGATAAAGGTTTGGTCTGCACTCTCCCTTACGACCGTATTGGTGAACTCATTAATTGTAAGTGCTTAGCAATAATGCTAGTATTTTTCAAACATTGAAATTTATTTTTTGGATCTTCTGACCGTTTTGCCAGTATATTGGGAATTATTTATCACCTGGCCTTTGACAGTGTTCATGCTAGAAGTTATTTATCTGCCTAACTGATGTATCTAATGGCTGCTTCTAATCGTATTTGGATGCCAAACTCACCGACTTACAATTTTTTGAATCGGGAAGATATTAAAATCACTACTACGCATCCAGGTGGCTCATCCGGCCAGTGCAATAATTACATTTTTGTGTTAGTGTATTTATCCTCGTCTTTTTTTGTATTTCCAATACGTATTCTTTGAGGTACACCAAAGTCATCTATTGGCCTGCATAGATATTACTTCGACTCAGGTCTTTCCAAAGGAGACGTTGCTCGACTTTCCTGGAGCTTTCTACGTCTAAGTGGACAGCCACCCCAGCTCACTTTTCTCACAGCCAATCCCAATATGGATCCTCCTGTCACGGTTGTTGCCAATTCCATCCCTTCTATCTCTGACGAGGATGAGGAAGTAAGATGATGAGCCAGTATCTCGTCTGGTACTTGCAAAGTGGGGCTTACAATAAAACGAGGATGAGCTATTTCACCTCTTATAACGTGACAGGGTTTACGGTAAATGTACTGATTTGGGTACCGCAAATTAATATTTTTATATGCTAGTACGTCGATGTGGCAAGATTTAACACCTCTTTGGTACCTTGGAAGAAGTATTTGATGCCAATGGCGCCCGAATAGTTCCACGTGAGTTCTGCTGCAAAAATTTGACCTTCAAATGGATAAAATCAGCACAGCCTGACCTCCCCATTCTGAGAATACTTACACGAATCAAGGAGAACCGCTGTGCCAGTTGGTCGAAGTGGTTTAGTTAATTAGGTTGCTATCTTGCAAATGTAACTTAGGGGTGTCCCCATCTATAATCGCTTTGGTCACGTTGAAAGTGGGGCTTAGAGATTGAAGTTAACATCTGCTTTCTCATCAAAACAAAATGAACGCGTTAATGAACTCTCGGGGAATCACACAAACGTAATGGCGATTTAACGTGTGTATAACGTGCTTAGGGGAAGACATAATTTAAGCGCAACCATCGCGTGGGTGGTTAGTGAGACCGCGACTTAAAGTTCAAACTAGATTTAAAGTGTTTCCTTCTCGTAGTAGATTAACCTTGTAATGTACAGTAGTAGGTATAATGTTTGTATAACGGTTCCTGTATTCTGCAAAAAATGGAGAGGCAAAAGGAAAAAGTCTATATTACTGTGCTCGTCTGCCCCGGAACGCTTACTGACCTGTGATTCCTGTTCTCGGTTGCACTATGCGGAGTGATTTGGTGAAATTTCACCAAAACGATTTTATTCGCAATAGTGAGACTCGATTTGAGCGTCGTAGCAATGTGCACAGGATGTATTGACACCGCCAAATGAAAATTTGAGAGCTTAATCACATGAGGTTCATACGGTGGCTGTGGAAGTTCTAAATCGGGTCGTATTTGAAAACAAGAAGAAGGCCGTCCCACAGTGACTTCGTCCCGGACCCTCCAGGGGTGTGTCGAATGAGTTTGGTGGAGTTACCGGTATGAACCCGTGTCGCCAAAAAGACGGTGAATAAATACTACTTTCCCGGATAGCTTGACACCACTTGGTGTGTTGTGCCACGCGGTGCTAAGTCGCAGCTGCCATCTTCAGTGAAAGTGCATTCGGTAAAAATATTCTACATAGTTTGATTGCCTAACATGGATGTTTAGTTCGTCGTCGTGACACTTGTTTTTTTTGTGAATCTGCTTTCTATTTTAATTAATCGGTTCTGAAAGTTGGTATTTTGTGTAGTCGATCACTTGAGCTAGTTTTGCCTTTGTCTAACTCAAAGGTGACCGAAGGACCTATTGGCAGTTTTTAATAGGGCATTTATTGAGTTTTCCTATCCATGAAGGTACATCCCTGAATCTTGATCGTTCGAGTTGTCATATAGGACACATGGGTAGTGCTCTGCAAGTTATTCAGGGTGTATTTTTGAGGACTCAAAACTGTTGTTGTGATCGACGTAATAAAGTATGGACACTGGTTGATTCCTTCAAGTGTCTTGGAGGCAATCTGCAAAATTTACCTTTTTAAATAGTCTGTGATTCACTGAGGATATTTTTCATTGGAATTAAGCGACATCTGTACGCTTGTATGTTGTGCTGATTTAAAAGTATTTCGTTCTCTAGGTGCTTCTGAACTCTGCTCTACTAACCTCTACTCACACGACGGCTGATACGGACTCCTCTGCGTGTCCCATGTTTTCTCCTGATATCGGACCCCATGTCCTCAACTCGTACCTCAGTTGCACTGATCAGTGGGATCACAATGCACAACCTCGTAAGGTAGCATTCAGACGGGCATTGCTTGTCTGTCAAGCCCTGTGGGCAGATCCTCATTGCTGTACGTCAGTAATTGAGGACACCTACCACGAGGCCTTGGGGTTGCATAAGTACTTTGTCGAAAGGCGCCAAAATGATTATAAAGGGGAGCCGATGCAGACGGACTGTGAGGAGAGCGATGTGAAACGGAATCCACACCACTACACGGTCTCGGGCATGAAAAGCCTCGTCAGAAGACAGTCTGTCGCAGAATGGATCAGGTATGCGCTATGTTCCAATTGGCATCATATTACTAGGTTGCTGGCATGCATTAAAGGATGTGCAAAGGCATTGTTTCCGGTATATTTACTCTTGTTTTTTAGGGTCGAATTGCGTCCATATCTGGAGTCTCGCTTAAAGAGTCTTGGCCTCGCACACTTATTTAAGGCCAAAGCTTCGCCACATTCATTATGGAGCCTCGGTGATAAAGTGCCTAAATCCTCCGTTTTTGCAGGCATTTTCGCTTGCTTGTGTTGCGGGGAGCCGGCCATTGCATGTCGCCTTGCACTTACTTGCCGAATGTCCCATCTCGCAAGTTGTCTCTCAATGGCCGCTCTTTGTGATCCTCTCTGCAAACAAAGTCTCAAGAAGCAACTCCAAATCTGGAATGAACTCAAGGTAAATTAACCCTATGGCTTTTAATTTATTGTTCTTTCCTCTGCACCATCACAATACTCTTCTTGCTTCCATAGGTGTTGCCTTTCATGCCTCAGGACATTCTCCGGACATATGCTCTTCTTGCGGGAGAGATTAAGGTGTCAATAACAGGGGCTGATGCTAAGACTGTTTTGAACGTGCTTGCGGGAGTCCCCTACCTTCAAGCCCTCGGCATACACCTATGGTACTTGGTGGATCATTCAAGTGACCTCGCCGCCGCACTTAAGCTCTTCTCTCGCAACTGGCACGCACACTCAACCTTCGAGGTTGCTCCTCCACGTCCCCTTGAAGATGACGAGTTAGTGATGTGTCAGGAGGAGACAGCTCCAAAGGGATCTCTTTCACATGGTTAGTGGTATATTTGCCCTCCATTTCATGTGAATGTCTTGGGTCGGTGGATTTTTGGTTAAAAAATTGGTTGAACATTAATTTTACTCCAAAATCCGAAAATTTGGGTGCTCAGTTATCGAGAGGCAACTTGTGCCGTTTTTCCGTCTTTGATTTCTAGAATCGGTTCTTTGGGTTCTCTTATCATGGCCTACGGTCTGTGAGTCAAAATGTCTAGTCTTGGAAGCTTGAGTCGAGGAGTTTTTCTGTCGCCTTTTTAATTTAAGCAAACGAAGATATTGATGGTTTCCTGTTTAAATTATTAAACTAGGGTCTTTTATCCCGTTTTTTTGATACCTTTTAGTTTGTGCTGTAACTGGGCGAAAGTGTATCACCTTCAGTGCGCTGGAAAATGACCCAAATGATTTGTTCATGCCATGCTCTGTAGTCGTGAGATCTAGTTGCTGTTAACGTACTTATCAAACACATTTTCGCCTTACGCAATAGTGGCCTGTATCTACTTTAATTCAGACGATCGTATTGAGATTGGTTACTGTTACAATATCTACAAAATTCGGTTTTTTTAGTATTTCGATTACTTAGACATTGTGCTTCGTGCACGCATTTATCGTCGGAGATCTTATATTTTAACCCTTTCTATTCCCAGGTGCGTTATCCCGTTCAAGTCCTCGGGATGTTTGTTACCACCTCCTGCGGTTGGCCTCCCGTCCATGGCACAGCCTTGAACGCACCCTAGATCCAGGCAGCATTCGCCAACGTTGTGGAGACCTTTTGGCCGGCACTGATTGGCCATCGGCTTGGCACCTTTGGCGCGTACTTGTTTCCCTTGGTCTCTCTTCCCTCAATCCCATAGCTACATCGCGTCTCCATGTGGAATTCGCGAGCCACTTGGAGGCTTGTGGGCTCTGGGAATGGGCAGTGTTTGTGTTGATGCATGAGGCGGAGCCGCGAGTTCGTGCTGCCTCTGTGAAACAGCTACTTGCGCGACACGTGACTTTACAACGTCCTCTGCGATCACCTCATGGTGACTGGAGACTGGACCAGGAATCAGTTGGCCGATACAGCCGCGCGGAATTGTTTATTATGCAAAAGTTTGGAGTATCCGTAAAGTGGTTCCATGAAGCAAAGGTAAGTTAGAACCGAGAGTACCTCCAAAGTCGAGTGGCCTTCTCGACCTCTTTGACTTAACTGTATCGAAGGAGAGGTAACAGCAAGACATGCATTAGGTGGACGGGGAAGTATGTCTAGACTTACTTGAGAATTGAGTCTGTTTTAATTCCAGGGGAAAAATCTACTAAAATAAAGTTAACCTATCAGGCGTTCTCCGCAATCTTTTACAGCAACTATCAGCAGTTCCACCAATTTTTCGATCACATTCGGTCCTTTCAGATTACTATGACGTGCATTTGGCCTGAAAGGGAGCAAAAAGATCGTAATCTGATGGCAGATTTCTCGAAATTCGAAAAGCTAACTCTAAAATTACTGTCTCCATGAGTTACGTAGTTTGTGATCGAGTGTTGTCAACCTTCGTAACCCCTCGCCCCTGGTGCCCAAATGGCATATTTGGACACCTTATGAGATGCTCGCCGAGAATTAGTCTGATCAGAAAGCACTCCTAGTTTGGAATTCATTTTCTTTCCAAAGCTTGTTCGAGCCGTCTTCGCCGAGGCCGTTCGCTAGATGATGACTTCTTGTTCGTAGACCCCAGTGATTTTCTTTTTCGCCTTTTTGGCTTTCGCATCGCAAGTGCACGCATAAGACAAGTGGGGTCGGAAACGCAGATTTAGTTTCAGACGTTATTATTCGGGCGAAACTAATGCAATATATAATCTAGAGAAGTATAACAATGACCTCCATGTATTATGAAGTAATTGCATTCTGAAGACATAGAACGCATCAGCGAACCCCAACAAATGTACTGGAAAGGTTGGTTATTGGCTCAATTAAATTGTGCATTGATTCTGCCCGTAATTCACTTTCCTCTCCCGTCTACTCACGAAGTTACAAAAATTTGTCTCAAGTTTTGAAGTTTAGCCTCTGCTACTTTCAAAGACCAAGCAGTCTTTACCACCTCCTGTCTGTCCATATATGATGCTTCCGAAGTATTGCATTCCTCTTCGCTCAGTTTTTTGTATGGAGGCCATGTCAGCATTTGGTCACAATTGCAGTCGCTGCATGTGCGTGCAGTTATGTTATAAAATCGTCGACATCTTCGAACGGCAACTTATCGTGATAGTGGTTTCCAATTCGACAAAAAATATTTTCCACAATCAAGTAGTGGAAGCTAGCTTACTTTTAATCAGCTTTTTAATTTTCAGGTAAACGGGTATTTAGCAAAATTCTGCTTCTGTAATTGTGGCATCAATTTTAGCTTTTGTCTCCCACTGACCTTTTTGCAGTCCGTAGTCGGACTTTTGTTGTTTCAGCCTCCGACGTTTATAACCCAGGATGATTCTCCATAGATTTCACTATCGTTGAGTGGCACGATGATTTATCACTTGCTATTTCGTTCGTTTCAGGCTTGTCTTGCTCGGTCTCTAAATGCTGCCCAATTGTCGTCCTCCAACCCCGATAACTACAAATTACTTTCTATTCTTGAAGCCTCTCACTGGTTGGCTTCAGGCCACGTGGAGTCTGCACATGGTGTTTACATGAGGCACATTCTTCCCAATATGCTGCTTCGTTATAATACTGACGCGGTTTCATCGATATTGGCTGGTACACGTTGCAAATCTGGGCGTTCCGCGTCGCTCGCGACTAAATTGCTGACTATCTTACAACTCTTTGCAGATATTTCTCGAGAGCATCTCCCAGTCTCTTTTGACTTAGGTGGGTTGCTTTTCGTTTGCCTTTCAAGTTTTTATCGGAATCAAGTTTCTTGGTATAAGGGACGAGCCAAATCACTTTTTGACCTTAGCAGAAGACTCTATCCGAGTCACTTTGTATTAGTTTGAGCGGTGTGCATTAAGTAAAAAAATGAAAATGAAAAAAAGTCTTGACAACCAATTTTTCGCCTGTCCTCGTCCCTTTTTATTATCAGGCCTACGCGAGTGTGGCACATTCTGATTTCTTCGATTTGTTTTGCAGGGGCTGGAATTTACTTGATGTATGGGCGGATCCTGCATTTAGCTCATCGGCTGAACCTCTGCAAAAATGGTGGGATTGGGGCCGCGGACGAGGACTGCAGAGAAGACACGAAGACGGAAGCGTCTCCATCTACCGTTTCTGAGATACTTGCGGATCTGCAAGCGAGCGCTCAACACATGGTTGATTTGCTTCAGAGTATGCCCACGCATTCAATTCAAGAACGGTAAATATACTGTTTATGGGGCGTTTCCTACCTGTTGAAATGGAACTTCAATTGTTCTACTTCTTTTGACATTCGAACTATGTGTATTTAATATTACGCGTACTGAAGTAGTACCATCTTTCTTCACTGAATCTGCAGCTATAATAGTACTTAATTTTTTTTTCAATCGCTGATATTGCGTGAAATTAGCCAACTGTTTTCTTATTTTGCTTTTATAGAATCGTTAAATCTGAGATGGCAATGACAGTTTTCCGCCTAATTTCATCCTCACTTCACCCTCAAACTACCAATGAGATTGGTGAGCAGGCTGCTGAGGAGTCGTTAACAGTTGATGACAGCGATATGAGCTTGCTTCTTTGTCAGCGGTTGAATTTGGTCGCCAGTATTGGATTGCCTGTCGAGATGAAATTAGCCGAACTCGAGACTCTATCAGCTGAGAGCTTGGCCAGTGGCATCTTTTAATTGGCTCCTTTATACATATATTTGAAAGTGACGGTTTCCCTCAAGCATGTTAATTTTTTATAACGTTGACAGAAATGTATATCGATTATCACTGTTTGCCTTTTCACTTACATTTTAACCACTTATTTGGTGCACCTGTGTTCGGGACATTTACGCCTCAAGCCTCTGAGTTTGAATGATTGAAACTTCTATATTGCGGTCTTGATCTATTCCAATTACATGACGTGAAGTTGGTTAAAATGACATGCATGCATGTTATTCACTAATGAAGCAATGTTGAATAAGGGTTTTTGATTTCATGCTGTTACTCAAAAAGGAGCATATTTATAATATGATAATTCAGTACACTTTGGTTATTACTTTTATGTATAATCTGGATGTCAATTCATTAAAAAGAGAAATAAATGTAGGTGGTGCAGAATTGGCAAACAAATCAATGAACTCCATTCAATTACTTGCTGAGATTTCGACGAAGATATCTTAAGCTACTTGATAGCTATCCTCGGTATTGCATCAAAATCTGTTTCGAAAAGTATTTTGGTTAATTCCATGGCATTTAATGGATTTATAGCGGTCATAGACACACTAAATTTTACCGCTTATTTGTTTAGATCTGATTATCTGAAGCATATTCTGTCCTGACAAAATTGTTTTTATATTTATGTGGCATTGAAAGAATAATTTTGAATGTTTTTTTGCCGATATTGGTTTGTGTTGTAATTAGCCATGTGGAGGTTTTAAGGTGATATCTGATGTCGAGCGGCAGTTTCGGATGTTGGTGTTACTAATTTTTCGCTGTTCTCTGTTAGGCCTAGCAGTTCTTTTTGCGGTTGTTTGGGTGTATTTGTTGTCATAAAAATTGTGGCTGTATCTCTTGCTCTTGTTTCTTGAGCTAGGTTTTTGAATATATATTGTGTAGTGTTCGCCGAAGTGTGGATTGTGGACATTCCAGTACACTTTGAAATAGTCCTCTCACGCAGAAGCTTTTTTAAGCCTACTGAAGCAAGCCTTGGTCGCATTGGAAAAGTGTTTGTGAGGATTCTGAAAATAATATCGTTTTGTGTGTAGAATTAAATGTAGCTGAACACTCTCTCCCTTTTTAACCTTTTGTTTCATGCAACGAATTCAAATTAGATGAAGAATTTATTTATTATATTTTTTCTAATAATAAGTTTCACTTGTATCCGTATTTGTAAATATTTGATTTGTTCAGGTTCCTCTAACCATCACGAAATACTTATTCATGTGGTTTAACTTTGAGCAGTAAAACGATGAAAGCGCTGAAAATTTTTTGCGACTTCAAGCACAGTCCAAATCTAATGGTGATGTTCTACGATATGCTATCGTTTAGGTATGTATATAGGCACCAAAGTATTCTTAAATCCTTCCTATTGATACATAGGGATTTGATTTGTTACCTCACTTGCTTACTAACGGATATTGACAATAACTGAAATCACAACATATTTGGTGCCTTACACTTTTTTGCCCAGAAGGATGAAATTAGGTGCTACAAATCGTTTCCAAGAAAATTAGTTTTTTGGACCGCAGATTTCCTAAATCATCATCACACTGTTGCTGTAACTTTCCTTTATAGGAAAAATGTTGGGATCAGCAGTCGGCAGATTTTATACCGCCTTCTCCAGACATTCTTCACGTTTATTTTCTGTTCGTTCCTCTATTTCCAAGAAGGAATTCGAGTCTCGACGAAAAAAATTTGCAGAGATGGTTGGCCGATTCCGTCCATCTTTGCATGTGACTTCTTCACGCCACTTGGTCATTGTCCCTGCGGCGGAGCCCCAGTATAGTTCTCTTCATGTCCCTTACCCCTTTCGTCAGGATTCGTACTTCCGGTACTTAACTGGACTCTCGGACCCTAATGCCGTACTTGTTTTGGAGGTTTCTTCAATGTCATCCTTGCCATCGAAATTCGGTGGCACCGTGATCTTCATCCCCAGGCTTTTCGTCGAAGAATTGAGTGCACATGACGAGCTTTGGGATGGACCGGCCCTGGGAGTTGATGGAGCTGCCAGGATCACTGGGATCCAGGACACGATGCCCCTTGATTTACTCCCAGAATACCTAAGATCAACCATGATTCAGCTCTCTGCTCCTTCAAACTTTATCTGGTTCAGCCCTCCTTTCACTATCCGATCGGAGAAAAAAATCCCACTGAACCATACTATTTTCTCTTTAGTAATGGAAAAATTTTCTGAGAGCCAATTAATTCAGTCGCAATTAAAAAACCCAAATCCCTTGGTGGATGAGCTGAGACTAATTAAATCACCATCCGAATTGTCTTTAATGCGCCAAGCCGTGGAAGTAACATCTAAAGTGTTAAAATGTGCTATGGCGTCAGCTTACCCAGGAATGAGGGAAGCGAATTTGGCAGCAAGGCTGGAATTTGAGTCCAAATTATTGGGAAGCAACCTTGGTTATCCAGCTGTCGTTGCAGGTGGCCCCCGAGCCAACATCATTCATTATTTAAAAAATGCTGAATCTGTGGAGGATGGTCAGTTGGTTCTAACGGATGTCGGTTGTGAAATTGAGGGATATACCGCGGATGTGTCTCGGACGTGGCCTATAAACGGTAATGTTTTTGCAATATTTAGCATTTTTAAGTAGGGAGGTTTTCGCGCGAACAACGCTTGTTGCATGACATCCTGATTCAAGTACAAACTGATTGCCAAAGAGCCGCTAATCCAGATACAAGCCTTGAAAAGCTCTACATCTTGATGCTACGTCAATTGTCGACTTATCTTTGCGAAGAGAATGTTCTCAAATTAAGCGAAAATGTTTCTGAGCAGGTAATCTGTACCGGCTTGATAATAAAACCAAGTTAGGTTTGCCGTTACGTTTGCCCTCACCATGTTGGCCACTATCTCGGTCTCGACGTCCATGATACGGCGAGCATTCCGTATAGCCGCAAATTTGAGCCCGGCATGGTCTTTCCACTGGAACCTGGAATATACTTCCCAGTAGATGGCAGAAACTTATCTGTACCCAAGGAATTTCGTGGCATGGGATTGCGACTAGAAGATGATTTTGTTTTCACCGTCGATAATAAAGCTGAGAAACTAAGCGATTGTCTGCCCGTTAAGACTTCCGAAATAGAGACTCTTGTTGGTTGAGTTTTCGTTTCTTTTGTACCAGCCTCAAAAACAATACTTTTTGTTTGTGGTGGCTCGGGACGTAATAGTTATCTTTTCAATTCACCTGACCACGCAATTTGACATGTGAATTGGTCCAAGGGGCAACAAAGGACCTACTTGAGTTGGATGCAAGTCAAACAGTTCTACTGTCTCTATTCGTGAATCTGTGGCCCAACTCTGATGTATGGTTTTACCTTACATCTCTTTCCAATTATGTAATGGCTACGTTTATTTGACGTCGCTTGAAGAACAATACATTGGTATCGATCTACACACGCCAGTTATAAGTACATTAATGCAGTGTGATTCGGGCCAGCCGGAAGTAGATTAGAACTACAAGCTAGTTCCGCCTCTTTTGACTTTATTATCAACTCGGTTTCGTTTATTGCTGTACAACTGTAGTAGTTACGCTCTTAGGGACATCGAAATATATCATCAAAAATGCTGTGGCGGAATTCAGCACTGAATGAACCAGGACTTGGAATAAACAGCTGATCCATTAGAAACATCATACGACAGTTACTCTTAGAGTCAACGTACTGTCCGGTAAGGATTTGATAGCGTTCCAATCGACAGATGTCGTATTTCCGTGTGAATGTGTACACGTGGCGCCTTACACCGCCGGTTGGAATTCTCGCATCGGTGAACCATAACTCCTTCTGTGACATTTCAGGACTAGGGATATGGTGGAACCCATTAGCCTCGGAAATGCATCTTGGTTCACCCAAGTAGGGCAAGTGAAGACATTCCTTCTCGTCTTTTGGACAAACATCGAACCGCCTTCCCTTCCATTCATCACAAAGGATGTTCGAGAGCACCGTCTGTCCGATAATCATTATCGACTCTATGGTTGGCGGACTGGTTTGGTTTCGGCGGATCCTATAGAGGCAACGGTCACTTCTTGGGCGCCGACCAATGCGGCGAGTGTGCACGATAAATTCAGATTCCCATGTTTGGGGGAAACAGCAAGGTTTATTTGGCGGAGCGTACCAAGTTGCGAGATTACCCAGTTTTAGAAACATCGATACTAATTGGTCTTTTTGTCCAACACTTTCTGGCTCAAAATCTGATGCGTTTAACTTGCAGAGGGCTCCCCACTGATTCGGCTCCGTCGTTACAACTTTGGCAACTACCTGTTTTGGAGAAATGAGAAGAAAAATTAGCAAAATGCTGGTGGTTCCGCCCATGACGGATCGCTTAATTATGCAAGAGCACCGCGACGCCGGTTTTATGTAAACGGTCACAAACTCTGCTCTGGTTGGTTGGCATTAATGACCAATCACGTTGGGCTGCCTTAAGATTCTTGAACGAGTACCTCTACCTCTCATCAAACACAGACCAACTATTCGAATACCGCAATTCGAGTACTTATTGGGCAAACGAACAAAATCTCCTTAACAATACTCCCTACAGCTTTAAGATTAGTTTCTTCTGTTATTATAATATATGTTAAAGGCTGGAGGCGTGGTGGATCCACCAGCAAACCTGGCAACTTCAAGCTTCCAATAGTAGCCACTTGACGGAGTTTTGGTGGCACCGTTCAAAATGTATCGACGCCATAAAAGCCATATTCTACAGAATCTCAGGAGGAGTCAATAACATTGAAAAATGAGATTTAAGTTTCACTGGGATCAATCGTCTGACGCAAGCACGAAGGAGTTGTACTTTTGATAAAGGAGCAGACGGCCCCGCCTGCATTAATGCATAGACAGCAACAGTAACCCGATAGTTGTTTGCAGGTAGGTCGAGAATAATTTAGTAAGATACCATAGGCTCTAACCAATTTGTTCTTTGTATGTAGCGAACGTAACGCAGTTATCATAGAAAGAACAAGTCGCGATAAGTGCCTTGAAGTGCTCTTTACCATCCGCGTCGATCCGCCAGTCAACACCGTACGCCAGCTTGGCTGATTGCCTGTAATATGTCAGGGAGGTATCAAACCCTGTTGTGTTTTCTATGATGTTTTCTTGACCATCTATGGAAGCAACGGCGAAACCTGCGTGCATTGAGGCCATTAGGACCTTGGTGGCCGAGGGTGACCATTTGTGACGCCATACTCCTCCTCCGCTCGTGTGACAGATGAGAATTTCCCCCCCACCACGAAGATCCCACATCCGTAGTTTCTCATCAAAGCTAACGGAGGACCACAAGAAAATAATTAACAATCCTGCCAAACCAAAACTTGCACTTATGTATACACGTAGCATCTATTAAAGTTAACAATTTAAATTCGGAGAAAATCACTAGGACAGTGACCTCATGAAATAACTATCATTATTGTCGCAACACCTCAACTGTTGTTAAAGTCCTTGCCAGTTTGTCAAATGGTAGTGACCATGAGACAGAAAGACCGGCTGGGGTGATCAAACAGCCATTCAAAAAATTTAAATCACTACTTATTTATATTTTAAAAAATAGCAAAATGATTTAAAACCCCTATACAGGAACCTCATAATGACAAAATTAAAACGTCACAGTGCCAAAAAAATCACAAGAAGGATGCTCGATTCGATTTCGCTCAAACAACAACAAGAGAAAGCGTTCACAATGTTTGACATTTAAGACAGAGTATCTTCAAATAAGATGACGAGAAATAAAATGTCCGCACTCACCAGCCAGTTGAAATGAAGTGACAGTAGCCAGGCACACTCGAGATACTGCACACGCCCATTTCATGCCTGAAAACATGAAAGAGCGATGAGCATACGAGCGTGTTCGGGATGAACTTACCTTTTGCTAATAACAGGCTTAGCAAATCCCAAACGCCGATCCCAAACTCGTGCCATACAGTCGTCACCTCCTGATAGAATCAAATTAGCGTCATTCCTGTTAAGCCTTACACACCAGGCTTCAAAATCATGACCTTTCCAATAATCCAGGATTTTCTTCTTGCAGGGATCAACGAGGTAAACAATCCCACATTCGTCTGATGTAACCACCCTGTGAAAAAAATTAATCGAAAAGAATTTTGATTTACATGTTTCCGTGGCAGTCAGACGAAAGTAAAATGCTCTCCGAAATCGCAAACACGTCTGATATAACAAGAGGCTGCGATTTTGGGGATATAATAGTGTACAATTCGCCGGAGCTTGCTGCAGCCAAGCAGAAATCAGATCCCATCCACGACAAATCTAGGATTCCGGCGGTGTCGAGCAGACAAACCTTCTCTGCTTGATTGCCAACGACTTGGAACTTAGCTATTTGGCCGCTCCGTTTTTTTGCTGTCTGCAAATGAAGTGCTCACATGTGTCAATTTGTGTCGATTAAAATCCTTGTCTAATACTTGCGTTTCGATAACAGATTATATCCCACTATTAGGTAGCTAGAACATAAACAACGTTCAAACTAAGATGAATGACAAGCGCGACGAAGTCAAATTAATTGTTAGGAGCATTTCGACACCTTTGTAAAGGATTGAACTCAATAAACCTCACTAAATAAACGGTTGAATTACGAGAATTAAAAAATCGAACGATATAACCGTAATCCAAAGTTACTAATACAGGTGAAAAAATCAAGAAAGAAGCAAATCATTAGGTGTTAAGAGCAAATCAATTCCAAAGTTATGGCAAAGGTTAACGTTAGAAGTGACGGCATTTATTGTATTAGATTAGAGTTTGGTAAAAAAATAGACCTTGCCTCGTCAAGTTGATAGTAACCAACCAGAGCTTGTTCTCCACATGGTGAAAACTCTACACAATCTGCATGCAACTGAAAAACATTAGATGTGACTTCACAGAAGACCCGGATCATCGCACTCGTCATAACATTCAAGTAATAGTTATGCGTCGGGTTAACACCAGCTAAAGACAATCAAGATGAACAAATGACTACTTTGACTTTCTACAGAACATGTGTAGTCGTAGGGCAGTGTTGTTGTAGTGTGGTGTAGTACAGTGTCGTGTAGTGTAGTGAAGTGTGGTGAGACTGTGGTGTGGTGTGGCGTCGGATTAGGGCGCAGACATATTGGACCACCTGGCCGCAGCCAATCCTGTGTCTCTCTGCAAT